CATGCCCAAGGCTATGATCACTGCAGACATACAGACAATGAAGCTGGAACTGTGCTAACATGTGCTCTTGATGTTAGACACGAATGATCAGCCAAACAAAGGTCTTCATGTAGACAAAGGGGGGTGAGGCACAGTTCCTGTTTCTTTCAAATGCACGAAATCACTGTTGTGGTAAACGTTCCTCATTTTTGCTCAAAAAGTTTGATTCTGACTCCTATCTATATTTTTTAAAAGATAATTTATGGACTGTGAGAGAGAGAGAGAGAGAGAGAGAGAGAGAGGGAGGGAGGGAGGGAGGGAGGGAGAGAGAGGATATGAATGAGTGTGCTGTCATGATGGTACTATAACCTTCCTTCCACGATCTCATAGCTAAGACATACGTAACAAATATGGCAGAGTTTACTAATTTTTTTCTTAGAAACGTCTATGTTTTCCTTGTGTTACAATTCAGCTTCAGTGCTAATCCCATTTCACACAGAAAAATATTTTTCTCCATAGCCTCTTTAAATAGCTTAAATCTGATTGTATTGGGTTGTCGGAAAAGTCATGATGTCTTTTTTGCTTTTCATTGCAAAAATGCATCATGACTTTCCCTATAACCCAATAGAATAAGATGGTCTATAAAGGGGTCAGCTTTAATACAGAAGCTTTTCTTTTTTTTTTTAAACTTTATTGGGGAACAATGTGTTTTTTCAGGGAACAATGTGTTTTTTCCAGGACCCATCAGCTCCAAGTGCTTCAATAATCTTGGCTGTGGAGGGCGCACGCAGCTCAGCTCCCAAGTCCAGTTCCTGGTTTCAGTCTAGTTGCTGGGGAGGGGGTGTGGTGCAGCCCACCATCCACTATCCCATACGGGAATAGAACCGGCAACCTTGTTGTGAAGAGCACACACTCTATCCAACTGAGCCACCCGGCCACCCCGCTTTTCTTTCTTGATAACCCTAATGGATTTTTAAAAACTGAGCAAGACATTATATTGATAGTGTCTTTGATGCAGAAGCATTGATAATTAAAAATATAATGAAATAATAAATTTTAGTCTCTGGTTAAAGTTATTTTACAAGCCAATATAAACTATTTTATACATTTAAAAAAATTTTTTTCTCTTGTTTTCCTTTGTCTTTAATTTCTTCCACTTCCACTCACCTCTCTAAAACCTTAGTCACTTTGGAATTTACAGAAATGATAGAAACGAATGTAACCGTGTGTCCTATGGTAACAGCAGCAGCAAAGCAAATAAAGTGCTGGGCTCATACTAACACTGACCCTTCCCTGGAGGGGAGCAGGTTCCCCCAAACCACAAGGTGATGATGGCAACTCCAGGGCTAAAAGCTTTAAAAGTTAAGATTATTAACAACAGATTATTTTTTAAAAACCTGCAGAAAGATTCTGAGATAGACGAATCCTGAATATCCCGTCAGCAATGATCAAGAATAGAAAGGGAGAAACAAGTAGAAAAAATGGCCTGGCAGGTCCACGGTGCTCCTGGCGGATGTGACGGCCAGTGTTAAGAGTCTACAGAACACAGGCGTGGATGAGGTCATCTCCACATGGGGTGGGCTGAGGCTGAGAAGGGAGAGGAACTGCTGTTTTCCCTTTTATAGTTTAATTTTTAAGAGGAGGATAAGTTCTAACCTCAAATGAGAAGTCTGATTTTGACTCTTATCTATATCAAAAATATCATTTATGCACAGTTTATTAAAAAAAAAAAGAATGTGTGCTGTCATGATGGCACCATAGGCATTCTGAAAATAAATCTTCCCCTAAGAAGTTTGCTTTCTTTTTCTTGAAGCTGACTAAAAGTGGCACACCAAACCACAGACAAATGAACCTTGCTTTTACCAATAATTCACAGTTTCCATGAGGTCAAAATGAAGAAGTACAAACTAGGAGACAGGAAACTTAGTTAAAAATGTAACAGGTTCAAAAACATCCAAAGTACCCCAACTAAGGTAGTAATCTTGTCTCAGATTACTGACTGGGTTTTCTCAAAGACAACATCTTGTCTCATAGTTTTGCTAACACAGACAAACAAAGAGAAAACATGCTAATCAAATATGTGGGTGTCATGGGAGTAGGGAGAAAGAGTTAACAGGCACCAAATCAAGGTTCAATGAAAAAAAGAGCACAAAACCATTAGGACAGAAAGACAATACAATTAAATATTCTTCATTATTGCTCAAAAAGGAAAAAAAAAGAGAACAGAATGAGAGAAAAAGCTGTCCTGTGAACAATTTTTATGGAAAAAAAATTAGACACAAATTTCTATATGAGCCAAAGCTGTGATGCTATATCTAAATATGAAAGGTAACATAGTAATACTAAAATTTTTGATGAAGGGAGATCTTTATCATGAGGAGTTCTGGATTTGGATAATATGCCTCAAATAGACTGAGAAGCACTGAGTGTACCCGGAAGAGAGGGGCTGGGGAGCACAGCCACACCTCTGCAGAGCTGTGAAGGACAGGACAGGAGTAGATGCAACTACCAGGATGAACTTGGCTGCATGAGCTCAGCATCCCCTCCTTTTCCTCCTGGGACCATTCAGAAGCAACAAAGACAATGGAAAACATACACAAAAGCGTCATTTTCCGCAAAACTGGGAGACATACTCAGAAATATTTGCAAGATCTCCAGTTCACACAGGAGCCAAGGAGGAGGAGGCAGAGAAAAACAAAGGAGAGAGAGATGCCAGCAGCAGCAAATTTCAAAGAGCACCAAAGGAAGAGTGGAGTATATATACAGACAGATTTCTCAAAGATGCAGGACCTGTGAGCGGCAAAAGCACTAACTCTTACCCGCAAACAGGGTTCAGAAAGAGCTAGGGGCTGTGGCAGCAGAAGTCCTTTTCCCCAGTGGGCCTGATTTGGTGGCAGTTGAAAAGAAAGGACATCTGCACTGTGCTTCCCACAACCTCAACTTTGGGACCTTTTTTTTTTTTGCCAGGTGCGGATAGAAAGTTATCTATTCTTTCAGTTTTCATTGTCATTTGTCTGATGAGTGAGGGTGACCATCTTTATCTACTTTATTCCACAAACATCTCTGACTGAACCTTTCATGCCAACAAAGGGCTACAAACCATTTATGGCTCAAATAGTCCCTAACTGCCTTCTGAGACCAAGTGGGCAGACAGTGCTTAATTACCCAGGCTAATAAAATGGAGCTAGCTCATCAAGAATCCAAACCAGTGGATTCTCTCCATGCAAACATTCCCCATTTCAGTACCCAGTTCCCCGTCTCCTGATCAAGAGGTGACTCTGAGTTTGAACTTCTACTGAGAAGCTGGCATTAAATGACTAATCGATGCACGTGGTCAAGTGCAAAGTTCTAATTTAGAGACATCGCCCTCATTCTCTAGTCTCTGTAGCTAACAAAACAAAATGGCTTTACATCTTTCGTCCCTCTCAGAGCCACTGTTGGCCCTCACTTGGCAATCCTTACTCCCTACCGTATACAGAGGCTACAGGATGGACACTCCCATCATAACCACTGGCCCTGAAAGCAGTTTCCAGCTCTAGCTGATCCAGTCCTTGGCACTTCAAGTCATCAACCACCAAACTAGCCTGCATCCTGTGCTTACGAAAAGTACAGCCCCGGTTGACAAAAGACAGTAAAGAATACCACATGCTCTAGATAAACGACTAGAAATAGCCAGAGCCTCAAAACTCAAGCATTCCCATGTAGTAAGTCCAAATGGTCGACATGCAACTTGAACAAGCCTTGGAACCCACTCCGTTATGTTCAGAGAGCATTGAAAACCTTCACAAAAATATAACAAGAGTTTGCAAATAAACTGCAGAAAGAGTCACATAAACAGCAATGCTGTCTCTACTACAGAGGAGGGTTATGGCCTGTGTTTTCTTCCACAAACCCTGGCTGAATATTTCCAGCCTCCTTGTTAAACAGGCGCTGGTCTTCTAAAGTGAGGGCAAATTACAAAGTTCTCAGGATTCAGACTGCAAACATGGAAAACTAAACAAAGACCCCCCCCACAAAATGTACGCTTCAGTAACTGGGGTAAGAGCATGTGCTGTCATTAAATAAACTGCAGGATATAGTAGCAATACAGGGAGGGCTTTACTCTTATTTGGGATTCCTTGTGTGGAGTGAAAGACAAAGGTGAAGCGGTGAGGTGTGTCCATTAAATGGGAACAGAAACTATTATGAATGAGAAATTTGGAGCTGTGAAATACATCATAAAAGGCAGCCAGTAAAAGAAAATCAAAAGACTCTTTTGAGCCCCAAGTGAAATACAGGGAAATAATGTTCCTGTGAATTAAAAATGAAAAGGCGGTGGGTAAGCCCACCGCCAAGGTTAATATTGGGTTGTGGGAAAGTCATGATGTATTTTTTCTCTGTTTTTCGTTGCAAAAATGCGTTGATTTTCCCGACAACCCAACAGTAGTAATGAGTTAAATGAGCGGGCAGTACAAAGGTATTTCCCCACGGCAGGACATAACTAATCCCCCATTTACTACCAGATTACAGAATAGGATTTGCATTACACCCAATATAATTCCTTTCTTCATCCCTTACTCTTAAATGTACCTGAAGTTAAGACAGTTAGAAAAAACCTAGCCTTTGTAGAAAAATGTGGTTCCTGTGAAAAAGTCTGAGGTTTCAGGAAAATATGTACACATAAAGTTGAACCCAGAGGCCAAGCATGGAAAGAAAATCAGGTCAAGCCTGAATTAGCCAACTGAAACCACAATGGAATCTGCCTTCCAGACCGGGATAAGGCTGTCTTTGGGACCTGCAGCGCTGCATCTGTCACAATGTGATGCTGACTGTGTCTTTGACGTTTTTCCAAGTGCGAACAACTTTGCTAAGACCTCAAGGAATGCAAAGGCCTGCCTTGTCCCAAAGAAGCTACTGTATAGCTAAGCCGAGGTGGGGGGCAGGTGTGGCCTCAGGAGTCTACAGAAACTATCCCGGTGAGGGGCTGCCGACCAGTGTGAATGAAGACGGAGAAAATCAACTTGGACATTTCCCTTTTCTACCTCCTCTAGCCGCCGCCTCTGCTCCTTCTGCTGCTCGATCCGCTTCTGTCTCTCTGCCAGCAGCTGCCGTTTATACTCTTCCTGCTCCCGGAGCTGCTGCTCCTGCAGGAGCTGTTGTCTGCGAAGAGCCTCGGAGCGCTCCTTGTTCTCCTGCTGCAGTCTCAGGAAATCCCGGCGAAGGGTAGACTCACCAGGCACGTTGACAATGGAGCTGGAAGAGGAAGCAGGGTCGTCAGCGGCCGCTCGGCCCACCCGCCTAGATGCCATGTGGTCCGAGATGATGTGACATTCGGCCTTTCCACACTCGCCCTCTCAGTGAGTTCCTCCCACTCCTAGATGTGACAATAAACCCATGGGAATAACTACATCTCCAACCCAATAGTATCTATCTTCTTTCGTCTGTTGCATAAATATCTTAAACCTCTCCTGGATGTTTGCATGACAAGACATCTCCACTGAGGATTCTCACACCAACTCAAACACTGAAATGAAACGTTGAAATCACCTTCTTCCACACTCAGTCCCTCTCTCACCATCTTACTTCCCATCAGTAAAAGCAACATCACGCACTGGGTCTGCCGGGACAAAAGGAGCCGCGATCTTCCGTACTGACCTTACCTTCGTCTTCTTCACCTGCTCCACCACATCTGGTCACATATCCCCTCCCACTGTCCTTATTTCCCGGGGCAGACGCTGAGCCCAGTGGGTCCCAAGAATTAGCCGCTGATTAAGCAGCTCCATTCCTAGCTGGTCTCCCTGCTGAGAGTCACCTCTCCACTTCCAAAACACCCAGCGTAACCTAGCAAATAAATCTCCTTCAACGGCCTCTTTCATTAGATCATGCTCCTATCCAAAACAACTGTATTGCTCATGAAAACAAGTTCAAATTACTCTACAAATTTCAGTCTCAAGTGGATTCAAATCTACGTAAGAAGAAAAAGGTATCATGAAGCTTTTCCCAGAAATTCTGTCTCTCGATATGCTCTCTTCAAACTCCCATCCCTGCACATGGGTCCCCACAGGTCTTCCAGCACACCCTTCCATCCTCCTGTGTTCAGTTAGTTACGTGGAGCTGCCGGGCAAGACCCATATTAATACTATAAAATCCCCTACTCTTTGACTGATTGTGTCTATGAGGTTCATGCTACCAAGCTGTCAACCTTCTCCTGCACTGTACGGTGGGAAGCCAGAGACAACGGAAACACAGACCATAAGGCGGATCAGGACAGAATATGCCTCACAGAAGAAATGACATGCTGGTCCGCACGCTTGTGGGAAGAGCAAAACAAGCAAAGAAAAATGTTCAGAGAAAGGCTGCTGTGTTTTCCAGCGGGGGCCCTACCAGCCCATGATGAGGACAATTCTTTGTGTGCAGGACCGTTTAATACACTACAAGACATTCGCCATCCATGACTCCTGGACTAATAAATGCCAGTGGCTATCTCCCCTTCCCCAGGACCAAACCCAACCCCACACGTTTCCAAATGACTGGGGGAGAGGCAGTAATGCACTCTTACCCACAGACCACTGAGTAGAAGGATGGGGGCGGGGAGGGCTATTTATAGGAATATCTCAAAAAATAGACAAGAATGGAAGGTAGTGAGACACTTTAACAGTAATTTAAGATTCCTTCATACTACATAGGCTTGAAACCCCGCATCCCTCTTCACCACGCGGGAAGCTGAGCAGCGGCTGTGTTGTTACCTCGGCTCTCCTTCCTGTTCAGGCACTTCCTCCTCTTCTTCCTCGCTCCCACTGTACTCATATTCAGTTTCATCTATTGAAAATAAAGACAAGATAAACAGGGCAGTTCAAAACCATGACACGTGCATGTATAGGCAAACATCTCCAAGAGTGTCATGGCAGAAAATAAACAATGTGCTCTTTGTGACAATGACGACGTGTATGGAGCACGAGGAGCACGACACCAAGTTCCCACAGCGAAAGGCAGCCATTCCCCAGGCTATCTTTCTTGGCCAGGGAAGAGCGGATCTGGCTGCATTCGAGACAAGCCCTGTGGGAGGCACTGCACATGCAGGGCTGTGAGGGGGGGCCTCCAGAGCCTGTGACACAGAAGTGGCCCAAATTCAGAAAGTCCACTTTGATGGCAAAGCTTAAAAGGAAGAGATTTAACTGCCCCAACTAAGGGGTCTAAAAAAATTTATTTGGTTATTTTTAGCACTCAGGGATCCACTTAGAATGCAGCAGAGAGAAAAAAGTCTGCTGGGCTGACAAAAAGTGAAGCATTAAGTACTTAGAGCAGAAAAAACAAAATCGAATGTTCCCACAACTTATAAAGGTGAAACCAGGAAAAAAACTGATGAAACAATACAGCAAAAGGAGACAGGGTTGGTCTACTTAGACCAGGCTAAGCAGAAGTTTCAACGTGAATAACACCCCTTCACTTCAACAGGTTTTATACCATTTTCCCAAAAGTAACTGTCCCTTTTATTTGACCCTTAACTTAATGTCAGTACTTGGCTTTGAGTGAACAATTTCACTCCACAGAGTAATCAAAACTAGGAAGGTTGAAGGCATTTATAAAACAAGGTCTATTCACACAAAAATACATTTCTAACTTTTTCAGTTAGACATAAAAGTTTAGAATCAGTTTCCCAGTAAGAAAAACGAGACTGAGAACTTAAACTACGGTTCAGTCTGCATTATATACAACTGCAGATATATGCCATCCACACACACACACACCAAATCCATCAGTCCATATACGTGACATTAGTTCTTCTATACTGGACAATCAAACTTTACAATTTTAAAGAACATAAAAATAGGCTAGCTTCCAAGGGAAATTCCATCCTAAATAATCTTTAGAATCCTTTAAATAGGTACTCTGTTAAGTTCCAAATTTTGTGTGGTCAACTATTCATTACTGACAAGAGACTGAGGTCATTTGGAAGATAAATAAATGCAAAGAGACTTGAAGATGAGAAATGAAGGTAAAGTACCCCACTGTTCCCACATGCAGAATGTAGGTGATGAGAAATACACGAGAGGCTCCAGGTTAAGGCCTTAGTAAATACCTGGCAATGTTCCATGACTGTTGGCTATTAATAAGAAAGTTCTGGGAAAATGATCCAATATGCAAATAACCTTTTCTAAAAAAGGCTTTATTTTGTTGCAAACTTTAGTTCACTTCGTTACAACTGCATAGCTCAATGTACAAAGGGTTAATTACTTTTATGAGTGAATGTATCGAAGAGCAAAAAGTCATTAGGACCATCGGTGGTGATGTAACTCCAAACACCAAAGTTGTGTAAAGCTGGAATGAACATGTAAAAGGCTCAGTACAGGCCTCCAAAGATGACTGTGACTGACTCTTTTACTGCCTTGAACTTGGCTCTTTTTAGTTTCTTCTTTGGCCTTAAAATCCTAGTGTCAAAAAAACCTCATTACAAGGCCCCCATTATCCAAATGCTGTTCTGTAAAGTTGCTGCACAAATGCACAAAACAGAAAGACCAACATGAGCTACAGCCTCAGAGAGGCAGCTTTCATGATGCTGGTGAGGAAGCTTGGTATGCACTTCACAAGACAGGTGGGCACAGAACACGTACAGCTATCAAACTAAGACACTAGGAACAGAACAGGACCTTTAGCAAGCTAGGAGCACATCTGTGCTGTGTGTGGTAAGAAAAAGGGAGTCCAGTCACGCGTGCGGACAGGCCTAGGCACAGCACCGCAGCCGACAGCAGTAAGGCTCCCTGGCGGTTCTGGAGCAGGACAGTGCCAGGGCGATGCTCACAGCTGATGTTGAGTAAGCCCTGAGTGACACGTGCAGAAAACAACATCCACAATGAAGTAGAAAGTGCAGCGGCACAGACGTGCCCCTGAGGAGGACCAGGAAAAACATGCCGCGTGCTAGCGGCCGCTGTGCCTGTGGTGTCAGCCTGGCGACACGCCGCGCAGCTCCGGCGACTCTGCCTGGAGCCAGGCTACACACTGGGCCCTGCACTGATAGGCAGGCCTGCGATAGGCTACTCGAGCACCGGCCGAGCAAACACAGGCTCATGGTCAGGAAAGGAGTAGCCTATTCTAGTTGGCAAAACCCCCTAAAAATTTCTTTTAAGAAGAAAATAAAACAGGTGTGATACCTTTCTCTCCTCTCTTCTTCCTGGTCCGGTCTATGTGGTCCTTGAGCTGGATTCTAACTTGCCGTTCGTTTGGCTGATCCCTTATGAAAGGATGTTTTAGAAGCTGCTCTGTGGAGGGCCGCTGCATGTAGTTCTTCACCAGGCACCCTTCTATAAAACTAAAAAACTTCTTTGACCTGTAAGAGGAAGTACAAAAGATGATCAGATTTCTACCACCAAGGGCAGAGCTCCAAAATATCAGTAACTTATGAGCCTGAAAACAGAGGCCTCAGGGTCATTGTGAACACCCTGCAAATGCTCGGGAATGAAGCGGGGGACACTGGGGACCAGGAGCATGCCTTACACACGGTTTACAAGTTACACCATATCACTGACAACACGCCACAGACATGGAGGAAGTCCAACTTAAATGAACTGGGTTTATAGCTAATGTTGCTTATTTATCATTTGGTCACAAGGGTGAAGGAGGCGAGGGGGTAAAGGGAAGCTTTGGCTAAAATGAGGGCAGACAGAGGATAGATGCCTGGAACCTAGAAGGCGAGGAGACACACAGAGATAAGAAGCAGAGTAAGTGACCAAATGCTGGGGCTCTTGAACATGCTCATGTGACATTTCAATCAGAGTCTCAAACTGGTTTATTTATCAGCTGTCTAGAGGTGGAAATGATAGTTTTGAAGGGGGCAATGACTCTGTCACTAACATTTACCCAGCTGGCCACTTGGATTTTTGCCTGCTTCTCAGGGTCTGGCTCGTGAAGACCTCAACCCTTGCGTTGGTCCTGACACCCTTACCCATCCTATCTGTTGAGACTCAGCTCAGGCCTCTTTTGCGAAGCCTTTCCTGGCAACACTCCACACCCCACCCCCAGGTGAGGAGCCTTGCTTCCAGGGCGCCCTGCACTTAACAAACCATGCAGTTACTGGTCTGTCTCCCTTGCTGCTTGTCAGCAATGCCCAACACTGAGCATGGCAGGCCACAACAGGTGTGTAATAAATTTTTGTTGAATGAATGAGTTATTTAGTCTTTAAAAATGTGATTTAGAAAATGAGTTCAGTTCTTTCCAATTATTTCACTGCTTTTAAGAATCACTCTCATTGTCCTGTAACTCCATTCAACCTTACTATTTTTTCAATTCAACAAATATTTATGAATCAACCATCTACATTTGTTTATGCTAGACTCATAAGAAATACACACAGGAAATAAAGTGAAGGAAACATATACACAATAGCCGATGTATCATCAAACTTACAAAGGAAGAAAAAGGAACTACTGCTATAGAGGGTCAGACATCAAGGAAAAGTTGGGCCTTTGAGAGTCTAAAGATGGGAGGGAGAAGCCATCATTCCAGAGCAAGAGGAACAACAGCAATGAAGGTAAGCAAGTGTTAAAGGTAACAAGTTGTTTTCTGATGCTAGTAGGTAATGTGGGAAAGGAGAGAAAAAATAGGTTGGGATCAGCTCAGACAAGGGCCCCCAAAGTCACTCAAAGAGGTTGTTACTTTATTCTGTGGTTAATGAAAAACACGGAGGATGCTACACAGTTGTGCTGGAACGCTCTAACACAGACTCCCAAACCCCGCAGCCCACGAGGATCATTTCGGGAGTGCATTAACAATACAAATACCTGGGTCACACCTCAGACCCAACGGAGCAGGAACTTTGAGGCTGCAGCCCTAAATGAGAAGATTCCAAAGGGCGTCTCATGTACCATGTCTACAGATTAACTGGGAATTAAGGGTCTACAATGTATTCTTTAAAGTCAACTATCATGTTCTGCTGGAAGAGTGTCCACGGGCCATCTTTTGAAAGCTACTGATCCAGAAACAACAGGAGCTTCTGACACGTGGTAGACAGAAAGACAGCAGCCATCCAGGAAGAGGGACGTGATGTCTATAACCATCTTGTCCCTTTAGAAAACGTGGGTAAAATGAGAGCCATGATGTAAATGGATGAAAATGCATCTAATCAAGTTTAGCTGGAGAAAGTCTGCTGTGAGAACACAGGAAGAACTGGTCATCATCTGCGTCCGTCTCTACCTCACTGTATTATACACACAGTAGTTAACCCCAGTGATGCACAGAATCATCCGAGTGGGGCCAGCTGATAAGACTTGTAAATTGCGAGGCACCTGAAGACAGAGCATAAACTCCCTTTAATAAAATGTGACAGAGAAAAACAAAGGGAAAATAAGTATTATTCAGTTTGGCATGAGCCAGATAAAGTGACCCCAGCCCCATAGCTCACGCCTTGCTGATGTCCGCTATACACATTTGGTTTCCCTAGGTTTGGCCCCCCAGGAGATCACTGGGGCTGAAATATTTGCAACTGTATGGCCTTACAAAAAAAAACACAAAAAAAAACCCGCTCCAAAAACTGGTGAGCGGAACCAGACAACCTCGTTACCTGGACAGTATAAAAAGAATGAGAAAACTCCAGCCAGCAGACAAAAGGTGGGGAAAGGATGGGGAAATGTGTTAGGGGAAAGGGCAGTGAGGACCAGAGAGAAGGAAGAGAGAAACAAGAGTGAAAATACGTGCGTATGTGAATATACTCAGAGATGGGAAAAGGAAACTACAGAACATCAGAAGATAAGCAACCAAGAAAAGAATAACAGCTAAAAAAACCAAATCCGGACTAGAAGAAGGCTTAAAATTGAGATTTTCTGCATATTTCAGAATTAGAGTCAAGACCCTAAGAGGAGACAACACTAACTGGAAAACCAGGGAGAATAATTTCAGAAAGGAAAAAAAGCCAAACCCACAGTAGGTCGTCAGTCGTAAGTCAGATAAGCCCAGGAAAACAGAGGAACAGGAAAAGGAGGAAGGACCCCATGCTCGAGGGCTGGAGCGCAAAGGAGATGGACAGGAAGGACTCACAGTCCAAGAGGGAACAAGTGGGTAAAATTCTCAGGCAAAAAACACAGCACGGTCCTCCTCCTTACAGATCTCAACACTAAACCAAACCAGCATTTCTCACACTGCTGCAATTCTTGACGCTTTCATCAGTGAGCGTCATCATCATTTCCCTCAGCAGATAGAAATTTTTGTGGAGCAAACAAATGAGAGCTAAAGGGAGAAAGAAAGGTGGCGGCCCAAAGAAAGGGGACCCTTCCTTTAATGTGTTATTCGGGAATGAAAGAGGATACATCTAACTTCAATGCTTTGCAATAATTACAGTAAATGCCACCATTCATTTTAAAAGCCTATGTCACCTGAGGAACTGTAAGTCAATGCAGCTTTGCTTTTTAATGCAAAAATGTTTAGAAAAACATTACATGTGAAAGTGTCGACATATTAAAATGGAAGAGTTTTCTTTAATCATGTTATGGTGTTTCATATGGCCACTTGTCACTATTTTATAATTCAAAGAGAATTTATCATGACAAAAACAAAACAAAAAATCAATACACTTTTTATGTGGTGTTTTGGGGGCACTGGCTCTTGTGTCTTTGGGAATTAGAATGGCCAGAACTGTGTCTCAGAGTAAAACTAAAACGGAACAATATTTTTAAAAAGGAAAAGAACAACAACAACAAAAAACCATACATAGCTTACCATTTTTTTGACTTCAGCCGGGGAGGAGGGTTTCTGGGAATGAGAAACAGTGCTCTCATTGGATGCATGTCACAGAGAGCTGGGGAGAGGAGACGGTCGTGTCAGTACGGCACTTATTACTCATTCTTGATCTCTAGGGCTCACGCAATATATCAAATACTCGGTACCATCATCTGCTTGACACGCTTTATGTCAAGCAGTCTAGACACCTAGTTAGGAGCCCTAGGGCACACCTTGAATTCCCCATGTAAACATAGCAAAATATGAGGACGAGAGCAACAATTTCAAACAGACAGTGCAAAGTTTTCATGGTCTAAGATAAATATTGATTCAAAGTTTTAAAAGAGCCAACCGCCTAAGTTTCGAAACCATCTATAAGATCACAATGAAAATAATTTTATTTCCATAGGCCTGTCATGAGGATTAAATGAGGCATTGCTTGCAAAGGCCCCCACACATGCCTGGAACATAGTGAGTAGTTAGCCCTCCAAAAATGTCAGCTGTTCATTGTTACAGCTATTATTACTATGAAACAGCAAACTGTCAGAGTAAAATGGAATTGCTGAATTCTGTGCACTTACTGTTTGCACTCTTATCGCTCGCCCAATAAAGGCATGTGAGGTACCCAAGTACACAACATGGTGTCCCAATAGGCAACGTGCTTCTCACGTGTGTGTTACCTTCACAAGACTCTCACAAGGCAGCTGGGAAATGGCAGCCAAAGAAAAAGATACTACTACTGCACTGTGACAGCAAGCTGAGACAAAGGGTCAGGCAATACTTCCCTGTCTCAGTTCCTCAGGGGAGCACGAGGGAACATATGGTGTTCAAGGCAGGTGTCATTTCTGCACTGCACACTAATTCTTAGCTGTTGGTAATTTGTTTTCATTCATTCAACAAAAATTTATTCAGCAACAACCATGTACCAGTTATACATTCTTTATGTATACCTTTTTTTAAGGGGGAACCAGAGAAAATGCTAGGTTTTTTCTTTGTTCTCTGCAATTCTACCCCGTCCCTGGTCAAAAATCAATTTTATGAAGTTGTCAAATGATTTAATCCAAGGCAGAAGCAAAATTCCACAGGTAATACAAAAAAATAAAAATAAAAATTATTCTATAGATGAAAAGTTTTCCCTCCATGTGTAAAGTCAAAACACAAGTAATGCTTAAATTTCACGTGTTAGGACCAGTTTTACTGAATATTAAGATCAAATTGCAAAAAGAAAATTTACTGCCTGTTCTCATGTCACCATAATTTCAGGTCACACACCTTAAGTAAATGATAACGTAACCTCCAGACCTCAGGGAGATCTCCGAAAGGAATAATGGATGCCAAGGGTTCCTTTACATCTAAAACTTCACTGTACTAGTGAGTCCTTCATCTAAACGCCCCAGGAATGGCTTCATCCATGGAGCTGTTCTTTTTGAAGCCTCGAGACTAGGTTTACATTACACATAAGTGGGTAATAAAGGAGAGAGTGTTACTTACGGGGAGCACCTTCTGCCATCTCAATAGCTGTAATGCCACAAGACCAAAGGTCACTCTGCAAAAACAGAACAGTGTGTTATGGGCAGCATGTTAGCTCTGAGGCCACAGCTTACCACTGCCAGTTATAGACATAAATGATATAAATGCATCCTGTGGCATAGAAACTGAAAGGAAGTTTGCCAGGAAATTAAAAGCACAAACACATTTGTCAGGATACCTTCCAAATGAATAATAAAATAAAGCTAAAACTGACTTGTTAGAACCACTCATATCTATAAAGGAGTTAGAGATGGTCCACATAAAACTGCCCACTGTGTGCTCTGCTGTCCAGTAGGTTTCTTCGTTTCTTTATAAGCATTCAATCATTTGGACTCCTGGCCCAGATTCATGTTTATTTTTATGTTTTATGTTAACATCTTAAACTTAATTAAGATGTTAAAAGTTGAAAGGCTAGAAAGCACTCTTTATAAAAGGTCCGCAGCAGAATTAATAAAATCTACCAGTTTTCTAATTTGAGGCATGCTGCCAGGTCTGCACTTGCCCCTCAAACTCAGTAAGAGGTGAGCAAGGAGCAAGTGTGCAGCATCTTTTCCTGCTGGTTCCCTTCAAGTATTAATTTAAAATCTGAATTTTAACTTTATTCCCCACACTAATGTAAGTGCCACGAGGGCAGGCATTTTTGCCTGTTTTATTCACTTCCGTATCCCTGGAATTATGACCCGCACGTGGTAGGCACTCAGTAAACACAGATGACGAATGGATAAAGGGTTATCAGCCAGTTTCTTAAAATTCAAACAATATTTTTAAAAGTAGGTAATGGATGCCTATTATCATTAGCATTCGTTTGTTTATATACTATCCTAATAAAAGAATTAATTAAAGTTTAAGGGTTTTCTAAATAGTCTATTATTATGTTACAGAGTTCAAACACATACGTGTGATTACAAGAATAAGGACAGGCCCACAAATTTCTCCCTCATTTTTATAGTTTTCTATATTATTGGGGGTGCAAAGGAGGGGTTCGCCACCTTAACCCGATGACTGTTTCACATGAGGAACATCAGTGGTCGGGGAACAGAGACGCTGCACGCTCCCTGGTGTGATGCAGCTCGAACCACACATCTCCTCTCAGGGGATCTTGCTAAGGTTTTTTCCTGATACTTACTGAGCTGAGCCTCTCTAGGTATAGAAAAGAAGCTAAATGACATTACAAAGATGGAAAAGTTTAAATTTGGAAATGGTAAGACAAAATCTAGAGGGAACACTGCCTCTCTAGTAAGTCAGTGTCATGAAAAAAAAAAATAGGGGGGATAGGAAGGAGGGAGGGAATAGTCTTGATTAAAAGATACTCAATGGCCAAACAACCAAACACAATGTCTTGTCCGATACTGAATACTGGTTTGGACAAACCAGGTGTAAACCAGCTGGGTCTAATTATGGACTCTATTTAAAAATTATTTTTCATTTACTTACATATGAAAATACTCTGAGTATGTTAGAAAATGTTTTCAAATTTTAGAGATACAGAATGATGATTAAAGAGTGAAAAGTCATAAAGTCCATAATGTATTCTAAAATACTTCAGCATAGGGCCAGCTGAGTGGCTCAGCTGGTTAAGAGCTCGCTCAAGAGTGCGAGCTCTGAGCAACAGGGTCGCCGGTTCAATTCCTGGCCCAAGCTGAGCTGCCACTGTGCTGCCAACAGTTGGCAGGATGGCTCAGCTAAAAACAATGAAAAAAACCCCCCAAAAATAAAATACTCCAGCATATAAAAAAAATAAAATTAAAATTCCTCTGCTCCCTGGGCTGAAAATGAGGTTCATTAATTGGGTATTGTAATAAATACTGAAATGCACTGGAGAGTGTTAACATAGGAACTTAATTTTGAATAGCATGTAACAGGTACAATAACCACTCTGACTCACTAAATAAGGCAAGGGAACTTTTCTAAAAAATAGTTTTTGTTAACATATTCAACCTGAATCTGATATCAAATATGAGTTTTACACCAGGATCAAAAAAGTGCATTATTGATACGAGTCCCTAGAGGTCACTCTAATAATTTAAAAACACTTGAGTACCCAATCAAAGCAGTTCGCTCTTTAACAATACTCTGAAATTTCATGTAGATGAAGCTATTGCTGTATATCCTGACAGTATTTCTTAAAAAACAAATACCTGATCTCATGACAAAAAGTTCTATGCACCCCGAAGTGGCCCAGGCTGCCCTGAAAGCAGTGCACTTAGTAAGGAAGAGACAGGTGATGCGGAGCAGGCAAGCCAGCATCTATGTACTGTCCCGGCAAACGTGCACTCGCAGCAGGGGGCCCAGGTCACCCTCAGAGACGGCAGGAAGGAACAAGGAGTGCGGGACATGTAAGCAAAGCCCCCATCCCTCAGGGATGGCAGGGACCCGGTGAAGGCCAAGCAAGCAGGCGCCTCTTACTCTGTAATCATAGGTGGCATCTGGGTTCTCGTCGCAGGCGATGACCTCCGGAGCCATCCAGTAGGGGGTGCCTATGAACGTATTTCTCCTCCCAACTGTCCTGTCGAGCTGAGCACTCACACCAAAATCCACTGGGAGGAAGAGAGAGCGGACCACAGTTAACAAACAAGTAAAACGCAGAGCAGGACACCTGAGGAGGAGGTCTCTTCAGAGTAAACTGAAGCAGTAACACTTCACGGACACACAGCCTCTTCCAGGCCAGTGCCAAGGAGCCACGTTCCCCTCTGGAAGCTCCTGGCAGGCCTGGCCCCAGCCGCCTCCCTCAGCTCCCCCACAGCGGCCACTAGAGGGACTCTGTGGTGAGCCGGGATCTTTAGTGCGTGCTGGGAACATGGCTGCGCAAACAAGATCGAGTCACAGAAAGCCCCAACTTCAGGAGAACTGGCTGAGACCCACATGACTCAGCTCCCTAAGTGGCACTAAACACAGAAAGAGAAGAAACCCACAAGGGTTTTCTGGAAAGACCACAGGACTGAATTAAATAAAGGGAATCAAGCTAAATCACACATACACTAAGAAACACGCCCAAAGTACCTGAGACTTCTGCTAACGCTTCACAGTGACTCCTCTGTCCCACCCAAGTGAATGGTGATGGTGGGCTACAGGAACGTCAAGCATGGGGGGCAGAGCTGGCAGGAGGACCGCTCTGCGTAAAGGGATGTTTGCCCCCGTCATCACCCACACACAGTGCCATTAGCCCTCGTCAGCAGGGGAGCACAGCAGTGCAGGAGCTGACGAGGAGGCCTACAGAGGGCTGCGATCATCAGCGGTCACAGATTCAGCTGTCACCTGGTCAGGAGGCAGGCCCACATGCTGGATACCCCTCTGAGGCAGGGATACGGCAGGACAGACGGTGTGGCTACCGCTACCTGGACAGTAGGAACCGATCACCAAGTGATTACTGAGGGACTGTCATAGGCCTAGTGCCACAGGGCCAACACAGGGAACACACACAACTTGCAGAGCTGTTTAGAATGAGAACAATTCGAGTGCCTCCGATCTTAGCTTTGAGGTGATTTTCCAAGTTGGCGGACTATTCCTCCACAGATCACCAATAAACACAGGCACTAGGCAAGAAAGCAATGATAACGATCCTATTTTGAAAGGTTAACTGCTGTGCGTCAGGTTTTTGAAAGGTGAACTAGATTCTTATAAGCATAAAAATTTTTGTGTGATGCTTTAGGGAAGAAAAAAATGTTTAAAATCTGTTTAAAAATCCGACAGGCCCATGATAGGCAAGTGGGATAGGAACAAGTTCAGATCAAGGTAAGGAAAACCAGAAATATAAAAGAGCCATTGTAAAACCATCTCCAGGAAGACACTCTGGGCTGCATCCATCATGCGTTTACTGAACACCTACTACATCCAGGGCACGGTGCTAGGTGCTGGGTAAGAATATTCTGACAAATAAGATAATCCAAGCCGCTGCACTCCCAGAACTTATATTCTGGTAAAGGAGTCAGAGCTATAGTAAACAAATAGCCTCATAATTATAAACTGTGATCAGTATTACAGAACAAACAAGCAGTGGGACCCCACACAGAGGGTGAGGGAAAGACCTCTGTGGATGAGGAAGAAACTGCAACTTCCAAGCGGGACAGGGTGTGGGAAGGCCTTGAGACAAGTTCCAAGGAAGTGAAAAATTGAGTGACTGAGGAAGAAGAGAGAAGTGAGGACGGTTACAAAATGAGGTTGGAAGGTCGCAGGGGCCGTGGCTTTTAATGGGCCATGGTAAGAAATGTGGATTTTATTCAAAGTGAAACAGGAAGCCATCAATGGTCTTCAGGCTAGAAAGTGACGTGATCTGTTTTGGACAAGATTCTGTCTACCACACAGAAAACAGGGCAGAGGGGAGAACCGTGAGGGAGGGAGGTGGAGCCAGGCGAAGCAGTGGGCCCAGCTCCCACCTGTTAAACTGAACAGTAATAGAAAACGTGGGTAATGGACTGTTGGCTCGACGCAAGCGGAGCAGAGTGCTCCCTGTGCCCAGGTACAAGCATCACATCCCGGGGCCCCGCCATCACCTACCGAGCTTCACCTCTGCATTCTCTGTCAACAGCACATTCTGGCCCTTAATGTCCCGGTGAATCACATGATGGATGTGAAGATGCGCCAGGCCCTGAACAAGAAGACAGATCTGAATTTTAGGACTTTTGTCACTGTAAGTAAATAAGCAAGAACACCCTCTTTAGGACAAAGTGCGCGTGCAGGCCAAAGGTTTTGGAAGCCATATTTAGAACACACAATTCCATCTTAGTGCATTTCCAGGAAAACATCCCCCCTCACTCTACACAGACAGAAAGGCATACCCCCCGGTTCCTCTGGGTTAGGTCCCCTGTGAGCAGCATCACCATTTCTAGCTGCCCCTTGAAGACATACTGTAGATGACCATCTGCACTTTCTCTGCTATAATTTGTGCTATTTGTGTACAGGGTGGTTCCTTTCCCATGATACACATCTATCTTTCAGTGGGTGACCCCGTGGTATATTTGAACTAGACACATCCCAGGGGAAGAGCGAAGGGCGAGAGTGGGGTTTCAAGTCTGGCTGGTTTTCCCAGCACACAGTGACAAACTGCTAACTGGTGATCAATCCCACTTCTACCCCAAGCGTGACACAATTCTGCCACCAAAAGAGCTTTGTGTTCAAAGTATTTCTTTCCCAAGGAGATAAACCCTGCTGGGCATATGGCGCTTTTGATGACCTCGTATCTGGAATGAGGTCCAAGAACATGTCTCTTACGAGAGACGGTGCAAGAACACAAGCACATTTTTTGCATCCAAATATGGTCTACAAGGCAAAAAGGCACCATTCTCACAATGCATTTACTCATTCCATCTTTAACTAAAGAATCCAAATCTACAGCCCGCCTCCTTAAGATACAGCAGCCTATTTACTCTGAAACGTCTCAATTCAAAACGGGCCGACTAGAAATAAGGATTTGACTTTCCAGTTTCATTTTTTATGGGGTTTTATTGTTATCATGACTTTGTAGGCTATGAATTAAATACAACAGCTGTTCTAGAACACTAATTTTTCTAGCACAGGGTTTCTAACCAATCATTTACAAGTCTGCCTGTGAAACAGAATAGAGTTTATGTGATGGCTCTGTTTATTTTTCCACCAACAGGATGTGCAGTGTTACACCACAAAGCACTGACTAGGGGGAAAAAAAGCAATGAAAATATATGGTATCTTAGTGCTATAGTTAGGAAGAAGGTCCCTCCTTTCAGCATGGAATAACTTTGAACAGCAAAAAAAAGAGACCTAAAAAATATACAATTTCCCTAATTCTTTCGTAATTCCTACTTTTATTACTTCAGCTTATTTTTTATTCTCTAACCTTCACAAACCCACTTCTCATACTTTATAGGATTATCTTAGCAACAAACACAAGTACCCATGTTTTCTCAAACAAATGTGGCCTGCGTGCCCTCTTGTTCTTACAAGCAATAATGTAAAAAACATCTCCTCCTCTGTAGCACGGCAAAGGATGGCTGCTTGCACGCGTGACCCTGCTCATGGTTGTGGCTCAGAGCCCTTAACCAATGTCATCCCGAGTTGTGAGTGTTCTGAACTATGAATACAGTTTTCCTGTATTAACTGAAGCACCTGGGAGGGAGGGACTGTGTTGTGTTCAACTCCTACCACGCCAAACGCCACGCTACAATTATTCTTCCTCAGCGCGGGTGACAAGTCCAAATACACAGAGATACCCGTTCTAGACCCAGCAAATCAGTGTTTGTGAAGTAGGAAACGCTTCTCCTGTAACTCTCTCGTTCATGGACACAGAACAAGGAGGAGTCAAAGGCTGTCCCTCAGTATTGGTTATGAAAGGCTCTAAGTGCCCATACTCAGCAGGAAATATTGGCTGCAAGCAAAATTTATAAACTGTGTGTAGACTGTCAACGTGGCAGTGGGCGGGAATGCCCGTGCTGGCTTCAGGTTCCAAGGGTTACAGTGGGCTGGTCCAAGAGCTTTTTTACTGCTATCTGAGGCCTATATGCTCAAGACTCTCAATCTTTTGAGGGGTCTTAACATAGCATCATCTGAATCTAACATCCACTAAGGCAGGAGGGCCAATTTTGCCATCGCAGACATTAACTAGCTCAAGCGGTGTCTCAGGGTATCTGCTTGGGGATGGCGGTCTCCTTTCCCATGGAAGCTCACCCCCGCCCCACCACACTGTGTTCTCGTTACCAAAACTGACACTTAGTAACTCCTGTGACAAGTAAACACCAGTTTGTGATCCACTGACTCTTCTAGAGGCGCTTTTTGTTTTTAGTTCATTTAGAGTTTTGTTATAAGAAAACTCCCATGCTAGATGAAATGTAGATAAAGGAAACACATTTCACAGGCTCACTGAGGTAGAAAACATTTGCTTCATCTCAAAAAGGTGTCCATTAAGCCACTGTATTCAGGCCGGACGGGGCTTCAAACAGCCTGGGCTCCTTTCAGATGCTGCCCGAGGTCAATGGTGGGAAAACAGCTACATATACTTATTACACACAGTAGGTGAACAATGCTTGCTTGTGTATATAAAAATGTGAATTGTCTTTGATACCGCGGACATTTACACTAAAACCTACTTCTCTGCTTGAGAAATCCCACACCGGAATTACACATAGGAGAGGTACGTGTGAGTGTGTGCCTACAGCAGAGAATAATGTCAACTAATATTTACTGAGAACTACTTGTGTAGCCACATGCTACATGAGATAATTCACATACACTAACTCATTTAATTCTTATCATAATGCACCCCCTTCCTAGGCTTGTACCTACATTGTACAGATGAAGAAGGAAAGTCCTGAAGGTGAGTGACTTTGCCAGGGTGTGCAGGAGATGATGGGCCCGGGCAGGACCCAAACTGAAGCCTGGCTCACTCTATCACCCATGCTCTCAGCCAGGCTCTCTCCTGCCCACCAGGCTAAGCGATTCACTTATTAACGTAACACATACATCTGCCCAGTCGCTGAACTCTCTCACAGCTCCGTAGGGCGGGGTACTTAGCTTCCCACTTTTAGGCTCTGCTCTATAATAACTATAAAAGATAGAACCCTCATGTTTTAATAATGAAATTTGAGTGTGATTATTAAGATGGCTCTCCCAACTCACCCCCACAACTAGTTTTCTTAAGGGAATGGTCTATTTTCAAGGGCTCTGTAAAATATCTAAATAAAAAGAAATTAAGACTTATCTTTAATGAATTTTAGACGCCATTTTTAAAATTTGTACTCCTCTATGAAACTTAAATATAAAAAGTAGGGTAAATTTACCTACAAGTAAAAAATAAATTATTTTACTGGTGAGAGAAGCATAAGAATTAGGTTCTAGTTTAACTCCATGGTCTTTACTTCTAAAAGGTGGTGGGTAAATGAAATCCAAGTCATGTAGGTATGTGATGCAGGGGTAAAGGAAAGAGAAAAACTCTGCTGGCCGACCAAAGCAAAGAGGCCCACTAACTCACACGCACATTTCAAACCTGAAATATTCATCTCCTTCTATCTGTGTGTCAGGGTGGCTCTACCACTGAAAGGAATCGTTTAGAAGCTGTGAAAACAGTAGTTCAGAAACTTACTCTAGGATCCTAAGCCAGTGTTCCAGTTGGCTATAAATAACATTAAACATTAGAACTCTTCCTCACGTCTCCTGTTTTCACATCACTTTTTCTCTTTGCTCCCCCACCTTTCTTATGTTTGCTAACTCCCTCACTCCATGAAACTTGACTACCTAAAAAACCACAAAGCTTACAAAAACTAAAAGAAACAATTCTTGGAAAATACTCTTCTGATGGGTATTGCAAGTATACCAAGGACCATAAGGACATATGATGTGGAGTATCTTCTCATGTGCTTATTTGCCATCTGTATATCTTTGATGAAGAGGTGCAGTTTAGTTTTAATAATGACTGTTTGTTAAGGGACTCTTATACAGCTGACAGTATCTCTTTTAATACCTCTATCAATCTTCTAGTTAGATATTATTATAATCTAATATTAAGACAGTTCGTAGATAAAGGTTTGATGCCACTTAAAAAAAAAAAAAAGAACTCTTCCTCACAAATATTGCAACCGATTTGAACGGTTAATGCCAAAGTTCGTAAGATAATTTTGAAAGCCAGCATTCAGCACCATTAATACTGATTCATAAACTTAGATGCAGAATTTCTATAAAAATAATTAGCGATTAATTATTCCTCTTCCCCTCCACTCTGATTTTCTTTTTAATACCTGGAGATGAATTCAGGGAAATGCAAAAAGACTATTTTTTGTTTTACTCTCCTTTCTTTACATACTTGCCAGAGTCAACACCATGATGCAGCTTAAACTACCAAAGCCACCCAGTGACAGGGTCCCTGGTTGTCACGGAAAGAATGCCCGGCATAGTTATGACTGATGAGAAGTGCTGCGGGCTAGCAGAATGAGAACGAAAACACAAGACCACGAGCGGGGCTCCAGAGCCGGGCCCTCTCCTTACCCTCAGGATCTCCCTGGAGATGTACGCTATCCAGTCTTCTTTGAGTGTGTTCCCCTTGGTGTTCTTCACAAGGTCTGTGATGGACCCGGCCCCGCAGAACTCCATAACAAGCTGCAGGGCAGACAAGACACACTGTGACCAACACACACCGGCAGTCAGGGAAGCATCAGGCCGTCAGGACACACCCAAGAAGTCAGAAAGCACAGTCTGACCCGCTCTTGCCTTTCCTAAAGATCTGGGCACGTGATCATTTTGGAGACATCCAAATTATTGAGATCGTTTCCCCAGCCGATTTATTCACGTAGTTGTGTATTTGCTCCAGGAGAGTCAGAGCTTCTGATATTCTACGGCACATCCCCCAGCGCAGAGGCTCTGGAGTGCTCTCCTCTCTCCTGAGCACATGGACATGGCAGCACCATTTCGTTTTTCATTAGTGCCCAATCATCAGAAATCTGATACAAGTACTCCCTAATATTATTCCTCATCTGCCAGGGGAAAAGATGCTCTATTTTTCAAACATTATGATTCTCAACCTATTTTATAGGTTTAGTATAAGAGAGAAACGCTATTTTTAAGCAATACATAATTTTTAATAATACATTATTTACTATACCTAAATGTTTGAATATAAACTCAAGTGTTTTTTTTTTTGTTGTTTTGTTTTTAGCTGAGCCATCCTGCCACCTGCTGGCAGCTCAGCTCGGGCTGGGTATCGAACCAGCGACCCTGTTGCTCAGAGCTTGCACTCTCCAGCAAGCTCTTAACCAACTGAGCCACTCAGCCGGCCCCCACAAGTGTATTTTTAAAGTACCTAGAAAATGAACTGAATTGAACTATTCTAAAATTTTACCTATGATGGGATTTGGGCAATGGAAATTAAAGGAACTAGTTCCCTTCTACTTTCTCAATTTTTGCAAATTTTCTACAATGGCTTCTTTTAAAAATTAGGAAAAGCATTACTCTATCTCCCTGCTTTCTAAGTCCAGTACCTTTGACATAACTAATGTGATGATTATAGATCTAATAGTAACTCAATTTCATCCTCTTGAATATAAACGTGTTTAATAAGAAATGAGGTTAAATGTGTCAATTCTAGAAATTTCCCTGGAATTACCTGTTTTTTTATAAATGATTATCACTAAAATTATTAATAAATTACTGACATAAGTCTGTTTTCTTGCGATCTGTCTCTTACTTCCAGGTGGTAAAGAAAAATGCATTTACTTAGGCTTCCATATTAATTAATTTCCACAAATAAAGTTTGTATTATACTGCTTTTATTTTCAAGCTCCTAGTTTCCTTACTATTTGCTTACATTCCTTTTAAAACGAGCCACTTTATTCCTGAAACACGAAGTTCACTGTTTCCAGGCAAAGTGAAATCAACATCCAAATAAACATTCAGTGTATTGTCAACCAAGAAAGAAAACAGCTACTACCCCTTTTTCTTTGCTTTTCTCTGCCCCCGCCAAAAGGTCCTTAAGGCCTTTTCAATATAACCCAAGAGGACACCCCACAAAACGCTAAGGGAACATGTGCCTACCCAGAGTTGGTCATCATGTCCTGGAGGGCTCTTTTTAATGAAAGCACCGTAATATGTTGCAATATTTCTATGATGAGAGTACTTCTTCAGCATATTTATCTCCAGTTTGATTTCTTCCTCTTCATCCTTAAGAAAAAATAAAAATAAAATGTGTGGCTTCTGAATAATGTGTGTCATTTTACTTCCCCCCACACAAACAATAACACAAGTCCCCTTTTCCCCCAGCAAGGGAGAAAATCGTGCCAAGACCTGGGGACTTTAAGGGGATTCATCCTCTGAAGTGTGATTACATGCCATGCAAGAAGTACATCAAGCATAAAAGGTCAAGATAAATATAGGAAGCATGGAGCAGAGGGCACCTGGGGTCCCAGCTCTTCCATTAACTATATGACCTCAGGCAATTGGCTATACTTCCCTGGGTTTCAATTTGTTCATCTGTAAATATGGGAGGGAAAAAAGAGAACTGACCGACTGATACTATTTCGCCTAATTACTAGGAAAGGCTATTTCTTTTCTAGAAACCACATGTGAACACAAACCACCTGGCACACTTAAGGTAGAAAAGGTTCACCTCTAACAACCTCCCACACAGGCAGATTGCTGAATGAGACCAGCCCAGCAGGCCCTGGCGTGCTTAGTGACATCCACCACCCCCCTGAGAATGCCAAGCAGTTCAGTGAACCCCAGTAACAAAACACCACTCAGTGACAGCAGGTGGTTCAGCAGGTGGCTCATCCCCCAGCCTTTTGCTTTATTAAAATAAGATGAGCAGGGGAAGGAATGCAGAGTTTGTGTGCGATCAGAGCAGGAATGACGGAAACAGAAGGTGACACAGGTCTGGAAAAACAAGTGGCCCTGTGAATGCTGAGAGCTGCCAGTGTCCGCCTTTCTCTCATATATACTCCTGGGGAAGAAATGGCACCAGCACGCACATTCTGCCCCTTGTTGCTGGCACATGACACAGAGAGAGGGTTCTGCCAAGTCACCTGCAGAGTCGTGCTAAGGAAGATTGATAGGTAGCAGGAGAATGAGGGAAAAGCAGAATTAAAGTGAGAAAAAAGAGAGAAGGTGAGAAAAAGAGAAAATCGGCCTTTGTTAGTTAGAAAAGCAGTGTTTGAGGGAAGACAAAAAAGATTGAGAAAAGTCTGATAACCAGATTCCCTTGACTACATATGTTTGCAAAAGGAAATGACTGGTTCCCCAAAACTTCCTTATTGTTCTACACTGACACACTCATCCCACTTAGAGCTGATGTTCTTCCCTCTCCAGGAAGACTCGGAGTTTCTGAGCAGGCTAAGCGCAGGTGTGCATGTATGAGAAAGAGAGAAGGCAGTGCAGTGGCTGTGTGTGTGTGCACATACACACACAGGAGGAAGGGAATAAGGAAGGAGCACATTAACGGGGAAAGAAGGTGAGACACACACACACACACACACACACACACACACACACACACACACGCTGAAGAAACTTATTGTTATAGCCTAGCACCTCCAAAAACCATTTGTGAGGCCTCACAGACCTAAAGTACGTTTGGTTTGCAAATATTGCTCTTTAAGATAAAAGCTGCAACATCACTAATTAGATATTAATGATGAGACCAAATGAAAAAAAAATGTTTTAAAATATAACTTTCAGTTGTACGTTACTGCTTTAGAAACCAGATACATTAACAAAACATGTAATCATTTTAGAACAAGATTCTCAAAATGTTGGCTTCCAGCTTGGTCCCGAGACATAAGTATTAGAATATTACAGCATATTCTATGGGGATAGTGGTCACATGACTGGCAGGAGACGACTGCAAATATGAAGCAGAGTCACATGGCCAAGTATAGTCTATACAACACTCTGGGTAATGATTCTCATTCAGACCCTGTATATATGAAAATCACACCAAATGCACTTCATTTCAATCTGGCAGTATAAAGTAGCAATGAAAAATGTGATACTGAGTAACTAGGATAACTACCTTAATTCTAAACAAAACCAATATCTAGCCTGGCTAATATCAGAGAATAACACATTTCTATTTGGGACCTTTCTTCAAGCGAACTTTATACAACATAAAAGGATAACAATTTTTATTAACCTAAGGTGCATGGAGGCATGCTCCAAACAGAACTTGGAAAGCCCAGTTCATCGAAAGCTTTATCTTATACTCTTTCCACACGTTCATTCAGACACAGAGTGTACACAACTAGGTGGCACAGGGCACATAGAAGCTGCTCCCTCCCTGTCACCACAACTAGCTCCCAACAGTACCTGTGGGCTCCTGAGCAGCCTGGGGCAACCCCAATGAGGATTGCCAAGGCTGATAAATTCCTAACAAAACTTAGCACGTGACTACGGCCATAAACACGCTCCTATGAGAAAGGCATGTGGTGTTCGTCCTGGGAAGAGGCCCACGGTTAAACACGTTGGGCCCTGAAAAGTCAAACATCCCACTTTCCTTATACTGGACCAAAATTAGGTCATTATAAAGTGAACTAAAGGTTTGATTTTTTTTTCCTTTTTATCCCAAATCAATAAACCTACAAGGTTCTGCGGTAAAAACAAAAAGGAACACGTTAAATTAGAATAGGGAAAAATCAAAATATTGATGGCAATTTTGTTTTTGTAGTAAGAACAGATAATCACTTCATAGAGTTAAGAGCATCTTATTGGACTGCACACTTTGCTTTATGGATCCAGCCCTGACTCCCACCTCTCTCCACCCCACCCCCCATACCGGCTAAATTATTCCAGGAGTTATTATTATTTATAATGCTCCGCCAGTAGGTTTCAGCTCTTGACAGAAGCAAAAGCTGCCTACGTTTCTCCCATGAGACACTTCCTGAGCAGTAAGTAAGGATCATGACGTATTTCAACTATAATAGTTGCAACATATTTTTCTTTAGTGACATTTAGGTCTTGTGGGACCTAACTTGTTCATCAATCTTTATAAAAAGAATCAAGAGTTTCCATAGGCACTTGATGTTTTCAGAGCCCATCGAGTTCAATTCTTACACATTTTATACAACTAAAGCTTCTTATAGGCTTAAACTCAGTACTGTCCACTGGTGTAAAAAACACAATACATATTGGTAAATACTGTTGGCAGATTATCCAGTTTATGTTCTCGAATCTAAGACGCTGCTAGACAAGACACACAATGACTTTATGTAACAAAACCAGACTCATGAACGTTCCTTCCTTTGCTTCCACGATTAAAGAGGACTGTTAAACATCTTATAAAAGGGCATTTAGTACCACTCATTGTCATTTACTGCATGCCCACCTTGGAGAAAGCATCAGAAATGCAATGTGCCAACAGTGTAGAGCCAACTACAATTGGAATCCTAATGCTTGTAACTATCGTCTTTAGAGTATTAATAAACCAACTTCTGAGTTCAAACCTCCCTTTGGCCGTTAGTTAAAAATAAGCTTGGTAGTCTCATTCCAATAGTTAAATACATACTACAGCCCCATTCCCCACCCCCACAAGCAAACTCCTCCCTTAGCCTGAGAAGATACAGCAGAAACAGACTCGGGGTAGGCTAGAACCGAAATGTTAAAGCAACAACAAATCCCACATATGAGGAGGAAGTGGAGCTGTGGACACAACATGACAAAAGTTTTTAACATCCCAAGTGTCTAGGCTGAGTCCAAATGACTTTGCTCTTCATTCTCCTCATTAGGAGGCCTGAGTCACATACAAAAATGAAAAAAAAAGGGAGGGGGGAGGGTAACAAGAGAAAAGCGAGAACGTTTTGGAAAGAAAGGTAAGGCTCCCTCCCAGTTCTCTCCAGTGATGAGGCAGCTGCTAGTTTTCCCTTAGTGACTTAATGCAGCTGATACCAATTTGCAGTTTGGACTCTAAACAGCCCCAGCAAACTCCCATAGAAAAGGTCTTTGTCTCAGGCAGGGAGATGACTAGGCCCGAGTTATCCGCTGCTAAGGAAGGGAGAGGGGAGAGTATCTGAACAGTGGTACCTCTCAAAGTCAGCTAAGGGTTTGTAAATGAGTCATATGACAAGCTCGCCCACCCACCATCTGAGCACCCAGGATTGCATATAATGCCATGTTTGTTTGTTTTTTAATGGCTCTTTAAAATGTTATTTAAACACTTGTTACCTAAATTTTCTCTCCTTCCACTGATGGCAGCAGCTATGCGAGGAGACAGACTTCAGATAAGCCAACCAGGAGGATCCAAGAGGACTGGCCATGCTCTAAGCTGATCACCTTCCTTCCTAGCATGCCCTCTTTACAGAATTCAGTCTACTCACGAACCGCGGGACAAAAAAAGAAGGATAACTCATTATGCACTCCATTTTCAGGAGCTGGAGAGGACTATTAAATGATGTATGCAAATATTTCTGGCAGATTTCACCACCAGAATGTATAAATGAATATACATTTAGATTTTTAAAAATCAGTTTACAAGTTTGTGTGTTTGTTTTAGTTAACTGGTACCGAATCCTTCTTGTGTGACTGTGAACTGGTAGAAAAACAACAGATCACCTTTCACCTGGCAAATCCCAGTTTTCTGAGAGCATTATTCAGCACCACAGTAAGATGAATTAATCAAAATAAATTTTTTTGACTCAAACAGACATATGAAAAGTTACACAACTTAAATTCACTGACAATTCAACCAAAGAAAGGCAACAGAACTATGCAGTAAAGATATTAGAACATGGCCAGCCGAGTGGCGCGTTAAGAGCTGGCTTGGGATGCCAGCTCTGAGCAGCAGGGCCCCAGTTCGGATTCCACATGAGGGCTAGTGACACTGCCCTCTACAGCTAAGATGGTGAACAACAGCTCAACCTGGAGCTGGGCTGCCATAACTGCAGTGAAGCTGCAGTGGGCTCCTGTAAGCTACCGTGAGTGTCCAGCAGCCTGCATGAGCTGCCAAGAGCCGCCGTGAGCAGCCGTCCATCTGCCTCACCTGGGAAGAGTGCAATGATAATACCAACAGGGGCCAGTGAAGCAACGTCCTCCACAACTAGACTGAAGAACAAAAGGACGGCAAAGTGTCTGTTCCCCTTCCCTGATTCCCCAGCGCTGTTCCCCTCCCCCAACCCCTCAATAAAATCTTAAAAAAAAAAAAAAGATATTAGAACAAAATTAAGGTTATAAGACCT